GTGCTGTACCTCACAAAAAACACCTAAAAAAAAAAACAATAATAACGCATAACACACCACTTAGTACACTTATATATAAAACAACATACTTAACGAAAAACACGGCGCAGTTTGCACTGAGAAAAAACGATTAGAACCGAAGAATAATACAACACTCCAGAACCGCCCATCATCAAATTTATTAAACCCCCCCTAAAAAAACATACGCAGCAAACCACTGAACACTCACCTACACATAAGAACCTAATAAGCATACACCCCTGCTCGTACATCGATACGACCACCCGCAGGTACAAAACCCTGATGAAATAATACCACCCACCCGATTGCGCTACATAAGGAAAACATTTCTTTCAAGAAAAACTAAGGGACATGAATAATAATAGAAACCCGAACACATGCATAGACACAAAAACGAAGAAAAGGAAACAGATACGACAACAAAAAATGAAATGCCAAAGCAACACCCCGCAAAGAAAGACACACAAAAATATAAAAACTCGTCAAGCATCCTCATGAAGATCGGCATCTGAGAACCACGACAAAAAAAACTTGACAAAAGAAATATGCCACGTTCTTTAAACAACTAATTAGACTGCAACCCATCTAAAATACTGACCGTCCCCAAGCTCTGAAGTTAATCGGCGCGAAAGAAGAAGACAATAACATTACGCGAAAATTACAAAGCAAAACAAATATGCCACTAAAATTCAAAACTATAATCACCCCACCTACTGCCAAACCCCGTAAATTGTACTATAACCGATCACACACAAGCATAACCCGTACATATGCACAGACCCCTAAACCTACCAAATACACCCCGTTTTACTAAACCGGAACGAATATCACATTTCGGTGACCTAATTAATTTAATTAAAATAATTAGAAAAAAAAAAACAATAACGTTTGAGCTATCATATACACACGAACGCGACCATACTCATTACAAACCTCACATTATAAGATATAATGGAGCGTGCCTGCATTACTATCTACAACAGCTTGCCTATGACTACAGCGGCGCTACAGATTATTCAGACTCATACTTGCTACGCATGCAAAGAACATCCTCATCCCATCATCTTCTGCCACCTGCCTCTCCTCATCCCCCTCATACTATGCAACCAAGCGAGCTAACTGTCTGTCTGCGGCTGGCAAGGCACCTTTTTGTGCCGGCCTATTTGTGCTTCGACCAGCGGAGCTCTTGATTCATCGTTGCACCGAAGCTCGACAGCTGTGGCAACTACGACAGCGACAAACTATGCCGCTTTTCCAGACATGACTCCTCAGGTACGGATCCTCTGTACCCTTACCCTTAATCGCCTATGTTGTGTATTCCCACGACCCCCCTGACTACAACTCCCCACCACCCGTTGTGCTAATTGGAGCCTTACCAACGACCAATCCCTTTGATGAGCTGCTATGGGTGCTAAGCGGCGAAAAGCGCGCTTCAGGAAACGGTTGGGCTTTGCCCTTTCCTAATTTCTAACACTAACATTAACAACGTAATCGTAGCTCGTGCAATAACCTAGACCCCCACCTTCACACTCTGCCCACCTTTGCAACATATGTCGTCCATAGTTGAATTGCTATCTAACACCCTTCTAATTGACGATCTTGAGTTGAGTCTTGTTTCCTACATTTTGAGGGATAGCTGTGTTACGTAGACAACCCCCCCCGGACACACACCCGAATCTTTGATCCTGTTGCTATGTAGGGGTCGACTCCCCTGCTAGCAGGACTACGCAAACTCAACTAACGATCCTTCTCCTGACCTTCATCAAGGATGTGTTGCACTAAACCTAATGCTAACTTACCTCCCGTCCCCTTATACACATCTAGATGTGTATAAGAGACAGCTCCTACTCTCTCTAGCAATACAGTACATATAACCTACCTCCTTAAACTCAGTCCACGTTTTCAGCGTATATCCAATGTTCCAAACTCTGCCCAGTACATCCTATTCCCCTTATTATGTACAAACACCTCCCCCGCCCACCCCGTACCGCATGTTCTGCACCTCATAGCTCTGCCCTTCTCTTTCCTTCTAAGTCAAATAGGAAACTCTAATCTATTATGCCCCTTCTCTTGTAGTTTATCATACTCTCGTAGTTGTGAGAATGCCAAACATCAGCGCGCATAGTAGTACTATAACTTGTAATTCTTAGTTAGTATGAATTAGGGAATGCTAGTGCAAGTTTACAACGTTATAATATTACCATTGCAAAAGATTCAATGATCTTGGTTTGCTTCGCTTATCAGTATCAGCAAGACTCGTCACGAGATGTATGCGCACATGTCTCGTTGATCATGGTCAATATCTGTATACATCCCTAATGCATTGAAAAACAGTTAAAGCGATTAGTGGACAACTTTACCACATTTTTAAAACATCTGGAAGCTAATCGTAAATGCTTGGTAAACACAGATGATGACCTCTGCATAGATCCACGACTTGGATCGTATAAGGAGCTAGTATAACATAATCATAAATGCT